AGATAAATCAATTAATGTTTTATTTAATATGTATATCTTGTTAAGTATTATTTTTTCTGATTAAATAAAAAAAAAAAAAATATCAATTATCAGGTGGTTTTCAAGTTATATAGGACATAGGTACCTCAAACATAACTTATACAATCATTACACATGGTAAGGAAAAAAAATGCGAGTTATCGATAAATTTGAGACGTTGTATATAATATGTAAATAATAGTAGTAGTGGCGCAATCAGTATATTGGAGCCAAGGAGAAAAATTAAATATGGGGCCTTAAAAATCTATACCAAAAGCCGCTTAACTTGAAGGCTTATGGGACAAGTTAGTTTTTCCACAATGGATATTGCCCTCAATTATATACGAATTCTGATTTCTAGAGCTCGGATTTTAAAGCATAATAAATAACAAAAAAAAAAACAAAAATGAAGCATATTAATTTTAAAAAAAAAGCGAAAATAAAGCATGACCAAAAATAAATATGAATTAATTGTAACGCTGAATAAAAAAAATTGAAAAATTAATTTATATTAAAAAAAGAATTCACTACCACATATTTGGCAAAATTTTTAGTAGTGAAACTGACTATTGTCTGACAGAATATTTTTATACATATATAGAAAACCGTGCTATATTATAASCATTTAGTTCGTACTACGTATTCCGGATTTTCTTTTTAATTAAATTAAATTTTTATTTATTACTATAGCATAATAAACATAATATACAARTATCACAGCTAGAATAACTGAAAAAAGCAATAAAAAAGTATTTACACAAAAAGAAGCAAAAACTAACCGGTTTATTTTGAATGCAAATAACGTGAAACGAAAATATTGACTTTTTTCAAAATATTTTTGTTATATAGTTTCAAGATGTTAAAAACCAACGTTTTTATTAAAAAATTATATTTTTAAATATTTTTTATCCTTATCATTTTTTTAAGTTTTTACTTTTTTGAATGACAACATAGAGTTTTAATTTCATATTCCAAAGCAGAATATTTTTCTAA